CCCCCCCCCCCCCCCGGAAAGCCAGCTCTGGCTCACAGCCCTAGGGGGTTCTCTCACCCAGTGGCTGTGCCCGGTCTACGGCCTGGATGTCCATGAGGCCTGGCAGGTTGGACCTCACCAGGATGACATTGCTGCCAGTACCCTTGTCAGCACGGTGGATGCTACGGGTCTGCCAGTCAGTCCAGTAGATATAGGAGCCAAGCAGGGTGAGGCCATATGGATGCTGCACGGGAGATACCAGCGTGTGCCGACTGGCGCCGTTCAGGTCAGCGGCCTCAATTCGCTGCAGAGGAAGGAGAGGGTGGGGGATGGCCGTGAGTGGACCGGGAGCCCTGAGTGGAGATCCTGAACAGTCCTCTCCTGTCTTCCCAGGCTTCCGGGAAGCAACAGGAGCAGTATCCTCACCTCAGTGTGGGCATCAGCCCAGAGCAGTTGGGAACTGGCCTTGTCCACGGTCAGCCCATTGGGCCATCCTAGGTTGTTGCTGATGAGCACAGTCCGGTCTGAGCCATCCATTCCAGACCGTTCTAGCTTGGCATTCTCCCCCCAGTCTGTCCAGTACATGAACCTGGGCAAGGAAAAATACTAGCTGTTATGTCCAGAGCCCCTAAACACTGTAAGTACTGACAATATGCCAAACACTGCAAAAAGTATTTTATGCAAAAGGTGGAGTTGTTGTTTATGGGCTTAGAGTTTCAGATTTGCAAGATGAAAAAGTTCTGAAGATCTGTTTCACCATAAGGTGAATCTACTATACTGAGCTATACACTTTAAAAATGGTTAAGGGGTGCCTGGGTGGCTCAGTCAGTTGAGCGTCCGACTTCGGCTCAGGTCATGATCTCATGGTTCATGGGTTCGAGCCCCACGTCGGGCTCTGTGCTGACAGCTCAGAGCCTGGAGCCTGTTCAGATTCTGTGTCTCCCTCTCTCTCTGTTCCTCCCCTGCTCTCACTCTGTCTGTCTCTCTCAAAAATAAAGATTAAAAAAATTTTTTTAGGGGCGCCTGGGTGGCGCAGTCGGTTAAGCGTCCGACTTCAGCCAGGTCACGATCTCGCGGTCCGTGAGTTCGAGCCCCGCGTCAGGCTCTGGGCTGATGGCTCAGAGCCTGGAGCCTGTTTCCGATTCTGTGTCTCCCTCTCTCTCTGCCCCTCCCCCATTCATGCTCTGTCTCTCTCTGTCCCAAAAATAAATAAATGTTGAAAAAAAATTAAAAAAAAAAAA